GTGCCGATGATCTTAACAAAGGTTGGTTTTCTCATGGATCCTCTCTTAAGTATGTTCTATCGTGAACCATAGTAATTCAAAGATGAAAATCTTATGAGTGCACAATCAGTGAACCATCTGTAACGCTATCTATTTCATATTTGTATGTCCTATTTGTATTAGATTCTCCAATCATTTTTTTCCTTCGTATTCACTTTTTTTTCTACTACTTGACATCGAATTTACTATAGAAAAGACAAAACCTAAAGTCGTATTTTCCGACAATAACACCATAAACATTGAGTTCTCGAAATTCGGCTTGAAATTTGGTACAGATATAGGTCTTAATAAGAATCATTTATTATGAAAGTTTCAAACCTTTTCGTTGTATCTATATTAAAATATGGCTGTGGTTAAAGTATGTCCTTGGCATCATTCACATGAACTGCCAGATTCAATGTTCTTATATCAGAATAGAAGCGAATAAAAAAGAGCACAAGTTTTCACAAGAAACTATTCTATTTAAGGCCTATGGTCTATGTCAAATTTCAAGTTGCAATTCTGAAATCATTTTTTTGTCGTGTTCCTATAGGAAAGCACGGCTTTGATTAGATATTTTTTTCTAAATGATTATTAGATTCGTTTTTTTTTTAATTATTTTATTAACTATGATATCGTACATAGTGTTTACAACGAGAATCATGCTGATGATTTCCATGTCGTCGAATAGCTTCATAATTAGCCAAACATGACCAACAAAATTCATAACGACATTTACTACATGTCATATGATCACATCCATCCGCTTTTTCTATACGACAAGAACATTTTGGGTATTTTTTACAATTTTGTACAATCCAACGTTGTGAAGCTTGAATTTCTGGATTTTTCATAGCATCCTAACTAAATTAAATGTATGAATGATAAATTAAATTTCAAAATTCACATTGATTTCAATAACACTTACTCAGCACATGTTAATCCTTCATGCCATTCTGTTTTATGTGTAAAACATGTTTTTTTATAACATTTAATACATGTAACAATATTATTTTTATGTCCACCTTCATTTAATTGTCCCATTCCACATCCATATGCACACCAAATAAATTCTCGCATTTTTTCTAATTGTCTGTGAAGTATAAATTGTTCATATTTGTCTAATAATTTTTGATCTTTATTATTAGATAATATTTTTTGAACTGTTGGATATTGAAAATTAATACGACAATTTAATTCAGGACAATGAACATCATCTGTACACATTTTATTCATTGCTTGTTTAATATATTGATAAAGACAATTATCACATATTGTACGTTCGGTATGACGACATCGACTACTATATTTTATCTTGAAATCTTGTTTAGGTTTATCATCAAAACATACTTGACATTGTTTTGTTGATGTTTTATGATTTGATAATGATTTTTTGTTATTAAGCAATGATGGATCTGTTGAAAGACAATTTAAACAATAATTATTATTATTAATTACTGCATAATCAGTAGATAGTAATTTGATTTGACAATTTTCACACTGCATTTTTACTCTTGTACTTTGCAAACAATGCTTGCTTACTTACTTACTACTCGTCGAGAGTTTTAGTAGGAATTTTCCCTTTCTGTTCTCATGATGTTTGTTGTGTTGTTTATAATGCAAGTCTTTTTTATGAGTCATATAATAGACCAATAAAAAAAAAAAGAAAGAATCTTCATGAAAATTTCTCCATCTTTACCAACTTTAAATCAATGATATGATGAATTATTCATTAAATAACAACAATCAGTAGTAATTCTTTTGTTAGATCGAGACTCTAATATGTAGTTATTTGTATAATTCTGAAATTTAAAATACATAAATCAAGAAAAAAAAACAGATTTTATTTTCATATCAGATCAGTTCGACGTGAAAGGAAGAATTAAATTTCGCAATATTAATTTTAGATTTTTCATCATCATCATCCTACATAGATCAAAAATGAATCACCTAATTTTTTACTCAAAGAATCTATAAAACACTATGAAAATTTCCAACAATAGAATTTGACACATCTTTGATAAACTACAATCAATCAGATATTAGATCTACTCTAAAATATCAAATTTCTAATTTCTACATACAATCCAATTCAACTTAAAAATATTATCAAAATGATGATTTTTCATAGCATTCATTGACAGAATATCTTGGATATAATTCAAAGTGTTTTTTTATATGGGTTAAGCTGTAGGATAGCAAAAAAAAAACAAAAAAAAAAGAAATAAAATATTACAGCCCACAGAGAAAAGAATGAAAATTACACACCATTGTATACAACATAGAGAGTTGAGCCCATTTATATATATATATATATTAACATATATATGGCTATTCGAAAATCGAACTATTATGGACGACTCACAATGAGTGTAAAATTTTTTAGCGATACACTTTCTTGTTTTTTGTTTTATGCAAGAATGATATACACATTGAATAATGAATAACAAAAAGAAAAGATTCTGTGTAAAAATTCGAATTTGTTTACATATATGAGTGACAATAATTATCTTATGCTAAATAACGTAAAACATCTTTTTCATTCGATTGACGTTCGAGATATTCTTTTTCAATTAATATATCAATACATTTCTAAATAAAAACAAAAAAAAAACAATATTTTGTTTTTTATTTCGAATGAATATTGAATTTTACTTTAATAACAGGAATTTTCGGTCGAAAACGTGAACTTAATTGTTGAATAACTTCTTGCATTAATAATGCATGTTTTAATATTTGTCGAGCTTTCATTATTCGTACAATAGCAGCTTGAATAACCATTTTACGATCTTCATCGATTGTTCGATGAACACCTTCGATATCTTTTTGTTCAACAGATTTTAATGGAACATTTAAATTTATTCGAAGTTTTTTACTAAGAAAAAAAAAATGTTAATTAAATATTTTAGAGAAGTTTCGCTAGTCAGTCGAGCTATTCATCAACAGGGTTATTTTATAATCGAAATCTATATATGTAATGTTCAGTGTCTGTCACCAGGTCAAAGATCAAATAAGGCAATAAGGGGAAGGCACCAAGGGGTACTCATAGGCCCTTAAGGGCTATTATATGAAGGTATCCATAGGTCCTCATCGGCTATTATATGGGGGTACCCATAGGCTCTCAAGGGAGTAAGGTAGTAGGAGGTAGGGAATAAGGGGTAAGACAATTTATCCATACCACTATAATAAAGCACAGTTGTTTGTCTGTCTGTCTGTTACCAGGTCAAAGATTAAAGATCAAATAAGGCTGTAAGGGGAAGTCTCCAATGGCTATTGTATAGGAATTCATAGGTCCTCAAGGACTATCATATGGAAGGACCCATAGGTGGTTAAGGGCTATCCTATGGGGGAACTCATAAGTCCTCAAGGGCTGTTCCATGGGATACCCACCCATAGGCTTTGAAGGGAATAAGGCAATAAGAGCGAAAGCTACATGTGCGATATAAGAGTATGAGGCCATAGGGCTATCTATCTATATACATAATATCGAGTGTCTGTATGTCTGTCACCGGATGAAAAGTTAAACATCTGAGGTCATATGTTAAAGGAGAAAACAACCGTGCAGTATGCACGGACTCACGTTAGTTAAGATACAGTGTATTGTTTTTTATATCAAATTGATTGATATAAAGAGAAAAAATATATCTTAATTTCTATGTCTAGTTTCCTCTTAAATTTATTAATGGATATATATATATATATACCTTTTAAAATCAGTTGCTAATCGAATTGAATAATTCATTTTAATATCAGTATCTTTGAAATCTTCATCTAATTCATC